AGTAAAGTACACTTACTTTGAGGTGTGTATGTAGAAGGTTCCTGGTTGATGATGATGGGAATTAGAAGTGGGGGTGGAGGAGAAGGGAGAAGAGAAGGTAGTGGGTATGGAGTGGGGACCCATGCTTGACACAGTAGTTTCACCAATAAAATTTTAAGTTCACTAGGTGTAATTCAAGTTTATTTTCTTTAAATCAACACTGCACTGCACTATATATTATCAATATGTTAACTAAAGTTCAGAATGACCAATAATTTCAATGAAAAATGCAAAAATATTCAAGACACCAACAAAATAGATACTTTCTCCACTGTTTTCAAAATTCAACTGACGCCTTGTGACCGACTCATGCATCTGATGGGCGCACAACAAACTAGTTCCCTGTACTGCATACAGTGGGGTATGCTATAACGAATCTAATTGGTTCTAGAACCTTGTTCGTTATAGCATTCGTTCGTTATAGGATTAATCCGTTCCAGGCCCCCAAATACAACCACTTAACACTGAAAAATATAATATAAAATTGTAAAAATTGTAAAAAACTGCATAAATATGCATCTAAACCCCTGAAATAATGAGTATCATTAATACTTGTAATAAAAAAACAATAAATTAGTAAAAAAAATAAAATAAAATAAATAAATAAATAAATAATGTTCGTTGTAGGAGTTTCGTTCGTTATAGCATTCTCAATTTTATAGGTAAAACCGTTCGTTATAGGAATATTCGTAGTAGGATCCGTTCGTTATAGCATACCCCACTGTATATTATCAGTGTGTTAAATAAATGTTAAAATGACTAATAATTTTAATAGTAAAACATGCAAAAATATTAAGAGCACAACTTTATTGATAATTACTCCATTGGAAACGAATGTAAACATAGAACAGATTACTGAATTGGCAGAGTACCCCATCAGCTGATGCTCACAACAAAACGTGATTTTCGTAAGGATTTCGTTAATAAAATTTTTGTTCGTTAACCGAATTGAAGATTCTTATGGAAGGTAATTCATTAACCAAAATTTCGTTAACCGAACCGTTCGTTAACCGAGGGACCACTGTATATAGTAAACAAAAGGCCTCGAGTTGCCAGTTGTCTCCAGCAGTGTTCGAAGAATCTTGAACGAGACGGCACCTGTATTCATCACTTTCATCAGAGCTTTGTCGCCCCACACAGATTAGTCATTAGTTGCTCATTCTAGTTTCCTACCCAGTTAAGAGTAAATCCAATAAATTTTGTTTGCACATTAAATATTAATATCCTATGTTAAAGCTCGCATATCGTTTTGAACACTTCTGTACAATGGTGAAAAATACACTAAATATCTAAACTGGTAACACTGCATAAAAGATCAAAGCTACAGCTTCTGTGAGCAGTCTGCTGAAAATTTATTTTCAGTGTACAGCATCATCTTTCTAAGAGGAAATGTTTTACATTCACTATTAATAAAAGTACATGTGGTATGATCATGCAGGAACCATATACAGGGTATCACATTTAAATCTTGTAAAAGAGCATGCTGATAAAATTAAATCTTATCCTTAAAGAGTTAATTAAAAAATATTGCCTAAGCTACTGATTATGACTAACCCGTCAAAATTATATTTAAAATGTTTTGTTTAAGTTGAGACTTTAAGATACATAGCAGTAGGACGACAGCTAGAAATATTCACTTACTGGGATTATTGTGGAAGTACATTCTTGAAAACTTACTCAACAGTATCTTTGGTTCTCAGTCCCATGTTACAGAGTAAAACCTAGAGGAGTCCCTAAACACAATTGCTCATGGTTGTATGGTTTATGGTACAGCAGATCACTCTAGAGCTATATACCTGTACCTGATTTTTCCCAACAGATGAGGTTTACAGCTAAACAGTCTTATGTTTACTTTATTACCTCAAGAATCAAATTATATGCAAAACAGCTTGATTCTAAGGCTTACATAAATGAAAACTCATCCTTCCACTGAAAAGTTTAACCTCCAGGTCTGGGAAAATCAGTCCACTGTACATACTTATGCTTAAGAAAGTCACTCAAGCTGCTATAAACTTTCAATCTCTCCATGGGGCGAAAAATATACAGGTAACGAAGTACAGTACTATTATGAAAACTAATGACAACAAAAACTGGTATAAATAAATTAAGAAAATATCTGATTGAAGTTTCAAATATTTTAGAGCATACTATACTTATGTTCAACAGCCTTGAAATAAATATTTTTTATGAAGAATTCAATGCCACGATAATACATTTTATAACATGATTGACTGAATCAGGCTTCAATACAATAATAATATTTATATGTGTTTCTAGTAAATTAAAGTGTTCTTTTACATAAAATTATTGTAAATAATAAATTACATGAATATAAATCAAATATATATATACAGTAATTACAATATATATTCTTTATATCAAATGTTGAAAGAAATGTAATCTTTATAACATAGGATGTCTGTAATTTGTTTTAATACTACAGTACATCTGACTATCACAAATATGTGTGGTGGCCTTCACAGTACTCATTGCATCAATATACAGTACAGTACTGTACTGTACTGTATACAGTATTTCCTTTAATGAAAACTCTATATGGGACATAAAAGCTCAACTATAAATGGAAATGAAAAGTCTTAATACAAATTATGACAAACACTGAGGTTTATTTCATAAACCTTTACTGTAGTAATCTTATGAGAACTCACAGGGAATTCTCTATATCATGCACACCCATATATACATCACATCAACAACATAAGCATCTTCAAATTATTCAGTAGCCGTTATGTATACTGATGCCTACATAATACAGTAATGTTAAATCAGAGGTTTTTATAATTGTAATGAAGTTCAGTTCATTAGGTTACACTGTACAGTACTAAGTCAGTCAGATAAGGTATGGTAACTTTATTTTTTCTGCTGTTATATATAATCTTACTTCTACAGTACCAACATGGTTTTCATCAATCTATCCTAGTTGATGTAGCGTTCCTTCGTAAGTGAACAGTAGTCTCAGTGCTTCACACACACTAGACTCTAAAAGGAGTATGAATGACCATAATGCCTCACACAAAATGGCAAGATTGGGACTTCTTTACACATCAAGCTGATGGCTTTAATTAGAGCTATTTACGGGTACCAGGTATTTATATTTTCAAATTCTTCATTAATATGTTGAGATTTAATTTGTTTATCTAAAATGTTGCAAAATTCCTGGATACTATATTTGCAACACACACACACACACACATACGCACGCATGCATGCAGACACACGCACACACACATTCAAATTTGCCATAATTTTTTTCAAAATTGTACAATAAACAAAGTACAAATCACAGAGCTTTTAATGTATCAAAAATACTTTACAAAATTAATGAAAATAATTTCATAAATGAAAATTAAAACTTTCTTCACTAATAAAAGGATATTTTTTGCTGAAAAAATCTTATTAAGCAAATACTGTACAGTACAGTACTGTACAGTACTGTATTCTTGTAAAATTCTTGGTGACAAGTATATACTGCACACCTATTCCTCTATTTATGAACTTTATGTATCCAAATAAAAATTAACTAAACAGTCAAATTGGGGACCACTTTCATATTTACTCAAGCAATTTTCCATCACGAAATGTACAAAATTCATAGGATGCAGCAGAAAAGAACAATGGGTACAGTGTGTCCCAACCTCTACAGGTGTTGCCGCCTAGCAGTGTTGCTTATTCATTAGTGAATGTGCGGCATTATTTTTTATTCCTTATTTTTTATGCCCATCTTCTCCATTATGAGTTCCAAAAGGAAATAATCTTCAAGGAGTATCTCAAGTGAGCGTGAGTTGCATTTTAAAAAATTTGCATGAACCGATATAGCGGAGCTAATATGAATAACTTTATCTAAATAACAATGTATTACACAGCCTGAACTCTACTGACCCAGGTCTATTACAGTAATTTTCATGATATTGAAACAATAATCATCAGATAAAAATAAAATATAATAATATACTGGTAATAGAATTAAGTACAGTACAGTACTGTACTGCACTCTACCTGTACAGGTGTACTGTACTCACCCACAAAAGGAGACATGCTCAACACCGAGTGCTACTCTTCTCGGTACAGGTATAGCATTATTCTCTACTGAGCATTTTTATTAAATAACAGTCTATGTGGTATAATTTTTTTTTTAAATTACAAAAAATCCTGACATATAATTCTATACACCTGGTAGCTTGAGTGTTTTGACATTTTATACATGTAGTATCTGCACACTGTGTTATTAAATTTTTTAAAACTGAATTACTGTATAATTTTATTATTTGTGTACAGTAATTTATATATTTTTACCTTTAGTATTATGGTATGTATTCTTATACATACAGTACTGTAAATGCAATTTACATGGTTTTAGGTTAATACAAAGGTTGAGAAGACTGCCCAGAATACATCCCTAATTTTTCCCTTTAAAATAATAGGAGAAGCCTTCCCAAGTTATGAAAATTTGGTATCAGAGAGGTTTTAAATAATATTGTAATGTACATCCTTTTTCATAAATAGGGGAACAGTAGTACAGTATCAAGCTTTCTTAAAAGCATACTTGACATCTTTTCACAGTGTGCTTGTAAACATTCATGAGTACAGTACTGTACAATAAAAATGTATGTTTGGTGAAGAAGTGTCACACATACAACCTTATTATACATATATCACATCTATTCTATTCATTGTGCAAAAATAATGAAAACACTCCATAGTTTCTGTAGGTTAAGGTAATTTACACTAACACAGTATAAAGTGAACATCTGAAGAATGAATCAGCATAACTCTGGCATTGGTTCCGCCAAGTGTATATGTGTGTGTGATGCTTAAGACTGCAAATTTCAATGAATGGGAAATTTGTCCAAATATTTTATAAAAATACAAATTTTAACTACTAAAAACATGTCCAGTTTCTACTTGAGATAAAGAGCTTTTAGATGATACAAAAAGTAAAAAAAAAAAAAAAAATTAAATAGCCTAAAGGATATCTATTGTTTCAAAAGCCATGGAGTTTCTTTGGCTTGTTGTTTGCGATGCAATTTTTGAACCTTTTTTCCAGGAACAATGCCATCGGCCAAACCGGGACGTTTTTTCTTCTTCACTGTCAATTCATCTACAATAGGCTCTGCTGTTAAGACCTGAGTACCGAGGTCTCCATATGACACTGAGGCTCCTGTAGCATTTGTATTTAGGTTCTGAACTTCTCTAGAATCAGAGGGCTGACTGATATCTGAATCATGTGCAAATTTGCAGTTGTGTCCAAACTTGCAACGACCTTTCCTATAATTCCAACAGATTTTCTTCCCATTAATTTCTAAAACATCTTTAGGATTTTCTGTCATTTTCACATGTTTCTCCAATACCATCTTTTTGTCTTCTTGTGCTTTATGAAATGGGTTGAAGAAAACAGAGGCAGAATGGTCATCCCCAAAGGGAGATGGAATTGCATTGCCACGCAGAGGGTTAGCGAGGACTTCAGGCTTTCTAGGTTCATCTTTCTTGATTCTTTTTATATGTTTTCTTTGCTCAGAAGGAGTCTCAAAGTAATTGACAGCTTTCTTGGTGGTGACTCTAATTGATCTGTAAGATTTTACACTTCTTTTAAAATTGTTCATATAAAAAATTAGTCAATATATAATATATCATAAAAAGCATGAAATGAATCATTATCAACCTAAATATAAAATCTATTCATCACCCTACACAGGTCATGGGCCTCCTCCTCCTCCTGTCATAGTTGCCACTACTTGTACACTTTTACCCTAGTATAATAGCAGTCCTTTAATTTTCAGTGATATTTTAAAATATTTCTCCCAACATTAGATGTAGGTTAATAGGCTTGTTTATATAGTCTGGTTTGGTTAGGTTAGATTAAATTAGGTTAGGCTAAGTTAGATTTAGTTATGATTGGTTATGTTTCATAGGTTAGATTAAGTAAGGCTTGGTTAGGTATGATTAATGGAAGCTTACCTTATATCAGGATAATTAAATTCTAGGTGAAAACAATAGCTTTGCTCATCTTTCAAATTTCCTGCTGAAAACGAATGTCATCGTATTGCTTCAAAGATAATGGTTCATAGTCTAATTACAATGTCACAAAAATCACAATCTCCGGTTTCTTTGGGGAGTTAAACCATAATTCTCATCAGTTCAATTTGTGTGTGTGTATGTGTGTGTAGGTTGCAGTTTTTAGCACAAAATATATATGTGGGATTGATCCTGAAATCCCAGTTTAGAACCGAGCCTAGAGAAAACAATTCATGAATATGCCCACAATAGGAATTGGGAACAACTTGAACAGCAGCCTTCAGTAACAGTACTTTGAAACACTTGCACAGATAAACCTGCACAGTTTGAATATTTTCCTATGGAAGACAACTTTTTTCCTGCCGTAAGAATATTCCTAAAAATGATGAGGGACTGGAATACAGTGCAATATTCATATTTTTTAGTAGTTCTTCTTGTAAATACAGGTATACCCTGAAAACCAACGTCCCATTAGCCGCCGCTTCGCATAACCGACGAATTCATATTGGGGAAATACTCCGCAAGTTTCGTTGATACCCCGTTGATCCAACGATTGGAGGAGCAACAGAGCTGTTTTGAATTTGGTGGGTGGTGGCCTGGTGCGAATTCTTACCACAAGAATGCTCTGCATGCTGCCTCCAACTCATTCCCGCCTCTCTGCACTTGTTTACACTAATCATGTGTCTCCGATTTCGCGTTTCTTTTCGTTATTTCCGACTTTGTGTGTTACGCAATCATGCCTAAATGCCCCAGTGATAGTTCCCCTTGATAAGGCGTAGTAAGAGTGGTGATGGACCAGCAAAGATTGGTAGAGATTTGAAATTGCCAGGGGTCCACAGCTAGGAAGTTAGTTCAGGTTCTTTAGGTTCTCTGCATTGTCGTATCATATTTTTACTTACTATCATCCATAGAACATTTGCAGGAAAAATGAAAGAAATTGAACAATGGATTCTGGTGCTAGCAGTCTCCTTAGGTCAGGTTCTGTGCAATGTCGTATTTTTTATTTTATTTTACTTACTATCACCTAAAAAACATGTGGCAAAAATGAACGAAATCGAACAATATCTTCTCGTGTTAGCCAGCTGCTCCACCATTATCGTTATTTCTACAGTATTATTATCGTTTCGGTCATGCAGCGAATTTTAGGATTTTAACATTGGGTTAGGTTAGATTGAAATTATGTTTTTCCGATTTTTGTTTTGTTTTGAACGATTCTGACCTACTTCAAAATAGGTGTATGACCAAAACGATAACTCTACCATTTCAACTGTTAACCATGTTCTTCACCCTACATAAAATTTAATATAAACTTTCGATTATGTACTCTACTGAATCTTAACGAGTAGCCCCCACACTTCATATTAATCAATGTTAATACTGCATGGAAAGTTTTTATTAATTATATTCACATCCCAATCCTCCTATCTCCAGTTCGCCGACAGCTCGAGTCAACTTCAAGGAATATATTATTAATAACACCATACACTAGTTATTTCATAATTAAAACCTTCTATAAATGACTAATCCATATTCAGCAGATATGTTAATTTTCTTACAACTCCTCAGCAAGCTCAGCATCTTCATTTTCCTCATCAGATGAAGAGCCATAGTCGGCGACCAGCCCAGCCATTGTGTTTACAAACAAAAGTTTTCTGTGGTGGCTGCCAGAGGGACCCGAGGCTGGCTCCCTCTCAGGGGTGATACATGTAATGCATAGGTAAATACGTGGGTCGATAAATATATTGTATATATAGATGGATATACATTAAAATCACCTTGTCAGTGAGGATGTTAAAAAGTGTACTTGATGCAACTGTATAAACAATGGACGAGCGGCTAATAAGCCGATCAGTGGTGAAGAGGATAAAACTAAGGGCGGATCCATGGGGGAGGGGTACTGGGGGTCCCGACCCCCCCCCCCCCACCCTTTTCATCAGACAATTCCAATAATTTTATCTTTAATGCTGTATTTTACTCAGGTATGTTTGTATAGTAAAAAGTGATTACTATTGACCTTAGAATGTCCCCTAATATCAAGTGCGCATGGCTTCAAATTGGACTCAAAATGACCATAATATTGGTCAGATTTAAAAATAATATTCTGAGGGAAACACCCCAAAAAAAAAAAATAAAATACAGCTGGGTGGGTTTGCTTTGCTCGCCAAGTTTCCCCACCCAAAACTTCTTGGACCCCCCTTTTGATATTCCTGGATTCGCCCCTGCGAGTTGTTCAAATGGTCTTCAACATTATGAAATGCAAGACTGTACGTAGGATACAACAACCCTAATCGCAATTTTTTTAATGACACTCTCCTCATCTCCTGGATCCTGTTGACAAGGACAAAATATCTAATTGTTGTGATAAATCAGTCAATGAAGGCAGCACAAGTGGAGGCAGCAATGAAGAAAAAAATGCTTTGGGAATTACTGTATACAAACATGGAAATCCTACCTCAAGTCCAGGAGCAACACAGAGCGACTAGGGTGATTCCGGAACTAAGTCTTCTTGATTATCCAAGCACACTGAAGGCCTTTCGACTAAAAGCTCTTCAGAAAAGACACAATAGAGAAAATTTCACATACTGTGGACATTCAAAATCTTGAAAGGGATAAAAACGTAAACTTTTTTTTTTCGGTGATGTGGCGCACCACCAGCACAAGGGGATATAACTTAAGGCTCGTCAAGTTATCATACAGAGCGAACGTAAGGAATTATTTCACACAGAGAGTGGTAGATCTATGAAACAGCCTACCAGCCTAAGCTGTGGAATCGAGAAGTCTTCAAAATTGCCCTGGCTGAGTTAATGAACTACAGTACTGGGTGATATGACAGAAATGCAGGTGTCCACACTTTTGTCAAAATAATAAGGTTTGTGTTGGAGGAGTAGGTAATATGTTGGTTTTAATGTCTTAACATCGCTGAAGGTCAGCAAATTTGAGGAGCTGGTGATTTTCAGGTCAGACACATCTTACTAAACGACGGCACCCTAAATCTTGAATTCTTACGGTCAATTCACACAGTAATTTTAACAGGTAACTACAGAGGTTTTTTTTTTATATCTACCACTTTGTTTACCACCTCCCCCCCCCCAACCCCTTGTTCCAGATGAGTTTGTCCATCATAATTCAGCGTTAGTACAGGAGGAAAGCAGAGGACTCGGAGACTTGCCATGTTCTGTAGTGTCATGGTGGGGTAGTGGACAACACTCTTCTCACACGCCATCCGGGATTGAACACAGGACGCGGTTATAGTTCTCTTAAAATCTAACTTGATCTTAATGGGGCCCGTTTAGCTCCAGCAGTTTATATGTGAGAACAGAGAAGTAAACCAGAAAAGCAGGCGCCATACAGTATACTACGTTGCTACATCTGTTCTTGTAATGTTAAGCATACAGTAGCTCTGCACCCATTGCACGATTTTCGATGTTTTGTTATAACTTTTCTTAAAATACTTATATTTTTTTTTTAACACAGCGGTCATCTCAACGGAAAATCTTGCAAAACATAATTCAAGAAAACACACGCATGCTTGAGGCGTGACGTCATAAGAGGTACTTGTTAACAATTTACGAGACCCACACATACAGTATATATATATATATATATATATATATTCATTTTTATTTAATTTTTTCCTCAAAGAACTTAGTTCCCAGTGAAGCTTCGAATAAGCGCCTGGATTTTTAGTGATTTTTTGGAGTGTAAAAATACAGTAAGTTGGTAATACAGTATCAGAAATAAGACACCTGGGCGCCATTTAGAAAAATATTCTCTTGAGTTGTCCTTTAACACTTTGGCGTTAATTTACAACAAGAGTAATCATCTGAGGGTCAATAATAATTTAGCGTCATCACTGTACCACAAGAAAAGTGAACGAGAAGGTTACCACCAATCTTGGCAGCAGGACGACCACATGTGATAAATATTTACTGGTGGTAAGGTAACGCCCCTGGCATAGCTGTATACATCGCCTCATTCATGACATTATTTCTCCTTCATCTTGTACAAGTCATAAATACTGTGATAGTGGAAAACCTTCATTAGATAAAGTTTTACAACTGGGAGAATGAAAACAATGCCAAAAACGAACAGTTCCTTATAAATAAAAACAGTTTTATAGAGACTTGGTAACTGAACAAGTCGTAAACTAAGAGCACGGTTTACTAGGAGAGTGAGTCTGATTGAGTCAGGCCCTGATAGTGGTGGCGGGAACATTAGTGCCATCGCCGCCTCTCGCCACCAACAGTGATGCCTAACAATGCCACTTGTTATCTACGTCGGCCAACACACCGAGATTTACTTGTGAGTGCCAGGCAACAGGAGTGCCAGTAACAAAGTTGGTGGACATAGCCTGAGGCAGACTTAAATAGGTTAACTGGCGACAGTACGAGGAACAAAAAGATCATAATTATGTCCTAATGTGTGTGACTCAGCTTACTGCGGGATATTGCTTATTAAGTGTGATTATATGTGAGAGTTAGTGATACGGGTGTTCAGTGTCGAGGCTGTCGACTGAACAGTGTGTCCAACAATACGGCGTCCTCACTCAGTTAATTAACCAGAGTACGGTGAAGGCAGCCATGACAAGAAGTGTTCCCATCTACAATGCAACGCAGAGGAGATAAAACAAGCGTCTAATAATATAAATGATAAGATAAGCGACACTGAGAAACGTGGAAGAAGCAGACTGAAGAGAAGTAATGCCGTTATGAGTAAAGATGTAGCTCTCTCATGTATAGACAGAGACTTATCCTTGTGAAACAGTTGACTTTATGATAATTTATTAGTAAAAGTTTAATGGTGATGAATGACTAGTTTTAACGATCAAGAATATTACTTCATAGGTGTTATTGAGAAGAAGAAAACCCGGTGCAAAGTTAAAACACACACACACACACACACACACACACACACACACACACACTGAAGAACAAGTGGCGAGAAGACATCATCTGTAGCACACTCAAAAGCGGTTAGCGAGCACAATGACGTAATAGCTGTTGAAGCACAGAAATACATAAATACAGCAAGTGCTTCATGAGAGCCTGTTGGAGTATCGTAGTTCCCTTGTGAATCTTCAAAGACATTAAAGAACCTTAAAAAGGACGCAGAGAAGTGAGAGAACCCCTCAAGACTCGTAAGAACCCCCAGAGCCACCTGACAGTCTGCCTCACGTGTTAGACCTCCGGACAGTTCCTCGTGGATGCTAAAAGGTTCTGAATAAAAACTTTCCAGGGTTGAATAGTTACTTAATGATCAATGTGGCAACTAGTACCTACCTGTGCCTCCCAGTACCTACCCGTGCCTCTCAGCACCTACCCGTGCCTCCCAGTACCTACCTGTGTCTCCCAGTACCTACCTGTGTCTCCCAGTCTACCTGTGTCGCCTAGTACCTATTTGTGTCTCCTAGCACCTATTTGTGTCTCCTAGTACCTATTTGTGTCTCCTAGTACCTATTTGTGTCTCCTAGTACCTATTTGTGTCTCCTAGTACCTATTTGTGTCTCCAAGTACCTATTTGTTCCTTCCAGTACCTACCTGACACAGGGATGGATGTAGTGTTATGCTCCAGATAATTATATAATAAATAATAATAAAAAAATAGACGAATTGATTTATGAAACTGCAACTCTGTGGTAATGGTTCAGCTGACGATTAACCCCTGGTCTTATTTTACCTGATAAATAAGCAATATTACGATACCTAGGGTGGGGGTTGGGTTAGGTTAGCGTTAGAGTGGTTAATCATAAAGTGAAATAACCTGGGGTGGTTAATTTCCAGGTGATCCGATATAGATTGAAGGTAATTAAATTGTATAAAGCTTAGTAATATTATTTAATTTATTTCAGGATGACCCCAATCAAGTTGTCTATCTTGAGTAGTGTAGCGACCACCTCCACCACCAGCCGACTCCTCTTCCTCCTGCTGGCGATGATACTTGTGACAGCCAGTGGGTCCGTCCCTCCCAGGTGTTCCGTTAAATCTGTCTGCCATCGGGACGATAACAGGATCTGGTATGAATAAGGTTGTTGTGTCATCGTACTCAAAGGGCTAAGTCATCGTACTCAAGGGGTTATGTCGTACTAAAGGGATTAAGTCGTTGTACTCAAGGGGTTAAGTCATCGTAATCAAGGGGTTATGTCATCGTACTCAAGGCATGTCATCGTATTCAAGGAGTTATGCCATCGTACATAATGATGTTTCTGATTCTAGTTTTTATTTAAGATTATCGTGTTTTACGAGAGCCATTCTGCCTCAGGCCCGCCCCTTGCTCCTGTGAGGCTGACTGTGGGGTGTACGGCGACTGCTGCCAGGACGCCACCGCCCCCGCACACACCAACCTCTCCACCCTTCCTCACCCACACAAATGGAGTTGTAGGACCTTCACGAGTAAACACTTGTGTCCCCACGTAAGTTCTAAGGTCGTCAAATCTTTATTAACACACTGCCGTAGTTTCTTAATTATCATTTAATACTCACGTGACCGCCATGTCTCACTTACCCTTAGCTAGGGTACACACTGTTGGGTGAATCGCTGCTATTAATACACACTCCTGAGCAGGACAACCGTTTGTTTACACAGACTACCGCGCCTGTGTGCATTTCTTCCTGTCCAAGTAAACTGCTTCCCCCAGATGACGCTTTGCAGAATGCACGGGAAACATTTTAACTTATTTTCGGACGTTTACAAAAGATATTGATGTCTGTAGGAATATAATTTTCGACATTATGAATGCTTACTTACAAATAGAACTTCCTAACTAATTCTGTTCTATATATAATGAAAATTGTGCATCATTTCACTGTACTTATCCTCTTTATTTAAATGTTGCACTGAGATAAGACGTCACTGTCGACTGGTCATTGGGAAGATAATCTAATACTTGTCCAATGAAATGCTAGAGTAGATGAAGGTAGCTGTTTATGTTCAGGTATAAAAAGTTAACGTAACGCTCATTTTTAGGCTATTTAACACAGTATAAACGTCTTTATTGCTCACATTCATAGATTCCGATAACATTACCATGCTCCTCTACCAGACGTTTTCAGACACTGGTAATGTGTGTTCTTATTCTCCCCGACAGTCCGTGTATGCCATCGACTGGTGTCCCGAGAATACAAATGAGTTCCTTGCCACGCGCTGTGCCGGCCTGGAAGGTCATCACACATTCCTCCAAGACATACTTGTTAAGTCAACTACTTCAGGGATCGTTTATGGCAACATTTTTTGTGCCTTGTGTCACCAGGACGCTCATCAGCTCAACGATCTGAACGCCATTATGCAGTGTATCATAGCAGATGGTGTCCAACTTCGGATTACCAATCGAAAATTTTTCGCCAAGATGAACTATCACGCTGGGAAGCTACAGTGGACGACCACGTTAACGCAGGAGCTGGTCACAACCTACCTCAACAGCAGCTTTGATAAAGATGTGAATAAGACGGTAGAATGTGCCTTGTATTATGATATCGCAGGCCACCCTTGTGATGACGTACATAAAAGCTGTGCAGACGGATGGACTCAAGATGACACGAGGCAGTCTTGTGCGTCGTACACCTACCACGTCTACACCGCGGAGAAGATATTCAAGAACTGGGACTGCGCAATTTGTAATTATGTTCCCGTAAATAATATAAAGTGTTCTCCATACCCTAAACCACGTACTCTCATCTGTAGTTTTCCACCTTCATCGGTTAATGATTTATTTAAAGTTTACGGTGAATGCCAGGAACCTCAAGTATGGAATCCACTGTCAGGAAGGTGTGAGGCAGTGAGGTGTGGTTCTCTGTATAAACTTGTTCGTGGTGAATGTGTACGAGATAATTCTCAAATGATTGGACGTTTTTCCATCAACTCCTCTTGCTTTACCCGGGATTACGATCGGAATCTAAGTGTCACTTTTCCAAACTTAACGATCTACCTTAATACGACAGGGACGACCCACCACCGCGGCGAGTACGAATTCGTCGATAAGGATTTCGTCAGAGTTTGTCGGCCTCAAGACACTGTCCCTGTCCTCGGCGTGGTCTCAACAGTGTTCATGTCATTGTCACTATTCTGTATGTTCCTCCATATGTGTATATTCTTTTGCCAGTACAAGCGAAGGAGCATCCCAAGACTCACTCACTTCCTGATGGTGTTCTCCCTCTTCATTGCTGAACTCTTCTTACTTATCACATTTAACGCCAACGACAACTACGTCGCTTGTGTCGTATACGCCTCAATCATGTATTATTTCTTTTCTGTCGCTTTTTTTTGGATGAATGTCATCAGTTTCGACACCTGCCGAGCCTTCTGCTCTCACACCTACGTGAAATCCACCATTAAGACGTTTATAGGTTACTTTGTGTACACCACGACCGTGCCGCTGCTCATGACGGTAACAGCCGTAGTGGTCGACCTATTATCTCCTCCCGACTTTGTTTTACGCCCCGATCTGGGTACTGGTAGATGTTGGTTTAACAATAAGTGGGGACTTGTGTTGTTCTTTATCTGTCCAGTGTTCTTGATACTGATAATTGACTTCATTCTTTACATAATTGCTGTATACGAAATATATAAACAACAAAAATCGGCTGAATTTGCGTCGCGAGCAGCTATTAAAAATAACAAACGTAGATGTAGGTCAGATGCGAGTAATAAGAGAACTGAGGGACAGTGTGAATATCCCCCTTCTAGTGCTGTTACCTCGAGGTCCACAACACCAGACATGGGCACATCAGCAATGTGTCTGGAAGAACTTCCTGGAAGGGGCCTGGAACGTCAGCAGAAGAAAACTCAACACCTGAAGGTGGTGAGGGACCGTGTGGTAATCTACAGCAAGGTGGCGCTCATCATGGGCATGACGTGGGTCTTCGCTCTCGTCTCCCTCTTCGTGGAGTCATCTGTGGTGAATTATTGTAATGTCTTCTTCAACTGCTTACAAGGAACCTTCATTTTCATTTCTTTCGACTGTACAAAAGAAAACATTAATAGGCTGCGCTACCGACTGACTGGATACAGCAGCAACCAAGATACTGTAGAGACAGTGTAATGATTTTTCTATAAATACATTTGTAGGTCATATATTAGGAGGCCACAATATAAGTAAATGTCTATTATTAACTAACAAAATATAACACACGTATAATACAAGACAGTCCCACGCAATATTCTGAATAATAGATGTGAAATCCCTGTATTTATTGTCACTCTGTTTGTGATACATTATATATGTTTAATAAATAAGGAAAGTGTTGTATGCATTTCCTTTCACACACCAACATAATGATGGCAAGAGGTATCAAAGTGTTTATGAATTTATTAACCATTGTATCTTCACTAAAACGTTCATCATCACCTCGACGCATTTTTTTTCTTTCACCCGGCGCCGAGTCGGTCCTTTTTCAATAATTTCTGTTTAAGTTTTATCATAATGTTTTACTAATGTTGGACGGATCATCTCTTCGACCAGTGAAGGTTCTCAGCTACTGCTTCTCTTTCTGTCAACAAGTGTGATAATAACAAACACTAGCGAGTAAGAGAATACGGAAATATGAAACGATAATTAAATCATATGGATGTACATGTTACTAGTAACTTCACCCATATAGAGGAGTAGTACTTCCTGGGCATTACACATACAGTACATGTTCGTGTGGTTATGAGTAATCACTGGTCATAACATACACGCGGTAGTGATAATTACAACAATATGTTTCAGTATCCCATACAATTCACAAAAAATGGTCACATCGTATATTAAAGAAAATAAGATAGTATGCAGGGGCCACATCGCTATATTCATTATATCATTTCTACCGTTTCTATAATATTACAGTACTCTAATATGATCATCACGAATCGTCCACATTAGCTCCAGGTGTCCGAGGGAGATATCGTATTACTAATGGGTGAATAGGGATTCTAATCTTAACACAATATATTCATCAGCACAGTAACATAAATTCACACTAGTACAACATATACTGTACATAACACAGTGCAGGAATACAAACAACTGTAAACAGGATGTAAATTCAACCAAGAATAGACTAAGAAATGTGTTAAAATTTTATGTCGAAAGTACAGTAGTCTTAATCTGGAGTAGAGACCTCTAAGTCCTTTAATGACAGAACTACAAAATATATCAGTAAGGAAGAGGAAATAAGTGACTGCCCAGTATTACATGTATTTAATGAGACTAATGAACCTTTTTTCCAATATATCAGTTAATCAGTGATACGAGGTCTCTCATTGGTCGTGTTCCTTGAGAAATTAATTTTGTTTTGTTTTTCAGGTAAGGAAATGATAATAAACCAACGAATGTGGTAGATATATTAACACTTGAGGAAAGGGTAGGTTTAATATCCATATACGGAAACCCAGATGCCACACACCTATCAGTTACAAAAGAGTTTAATCAATAATACCTGCAGGCAAGACCATTGATCACACGAGCGCCACAAGATTAGTTAACCGTTCCAACACACTGGGAGAGTACAAGACCCGTATACTCATACTGGCAGGCCAAAGAGTGTAAGTGATTAAGAAACACCAACAACATTAGCAGTACATCAACGAGTATATGAAGACTAAAAGACTGGAAAGGCGCCGTAACACAGCTTCAGAGCAACGAGACCTGGTCAGTTTACGCCCCACACAGTCTTTTGTTTTGACACTTCACTTGTATCATCACATAACTCCTCGCGTCCCACACCTTCATGATGCCTCGTGGTACGGATATGTTCTTCCCAGTTTTTCCTACATATATTCCCCTACATACATATGCTGGTTTTATCATCAATACCATACCAACAAAATGCAAATTATACCAAATTAGTGTAAAACTTGACTCTTTTCATACTATGGAGAATGAACCTCCATTTAAGATAATAAACTTTATAAACGTAGTTCATACAAGGAGGAGTAAATGTTACCTGCCCAGCATTTCTACAGTACAGGAAGGTGAAGTAGAGTATAATTATGTCCTGGGCTGCTGAGGGAGACGCGAGGCTCACCGGTGTTCGGCTCCACACACACACACACACACACAGGTAAGTTACTATACAAACACTTCACTTACCGCCGGTGAAAGACTGCTCAAGTTCGTCGGCTTCTGTAAGTAAGAAAGACATTAAACTAGTAACATATTCTAGAGTCTAGACAGCTGCGACCTCTTAAACATTTATCATAATCTCAAACAATAATTACTTACTGACGAAAATATCAGTTTCTTTCACCGAGGAATAGTTCACGGATAAGAAACAGATTCCTTTTACACTATCACTTCCAACACTCGTCCATACAAGATGAGGTTAGTTAGTCACTGCCTCATACGTTTATAGAAAAATCAAGCTTCATTGTTTTGTCCTATTTTTAAGATATTCAACCAGGATTTTTACCACTGCATAAAAAACTATGTTGATTAAAAAATTATAAAAATGGAATTATAAACCGTATACCATAATGTAAAGTATAAATAATAATAAAAATAAAATCATAATAATAATAATAATAATAATAATAATAATAATAATAATAACGTGTTGAAACAAACTAAAGGTACTTATTTGACTGTTTACATCCTACTGTATGCGTCTCCCAGCCACGAGCCTCCGCCATTTCTATTGTCTCGCACAGCTAATATTTTACAACAAAACAAACAAACATTTACATTAGCAGCAGCACGTCATTACTTCACACCAACTGGCCTCTGTCAACACGTCGCTCGCACACAACATCACAATATTAAAACATTCAGTGACTAGAGATAATAAACAGTGCAGTGAGAGGAGAATTAACCCACAGGCGGACGTAAAGTAACAAAACAAGAATACTAACTACACAAATTTTCTTATATACTGTAGTACTACATTATAGAGTCCGGGTGAAGACATAAAACTTGAGGAGACGATTATTACCTACAGACACCTGTGTGGGTAGCGACATTAAACACTCAGTCCTTGTGATCAAAACTACAATTCCGTGAGCTTGGCGGAACGTCTGAGAAGTCTTTGGCAGTTAAACCCATTGTCTGGTAACTTAGTAAAATGGTCTTTTCCTTTCATCGTACAGTGGCCACCCAGCTCCTACAGTAGCCACCCAACACCTACAGTGGCCACCCAACACCTACAGTAGCCACCCAACACCTACAGTAGCCACCCAACACCTCCAGTGGCCACCCAACTCCTACAGTAGCCACCCAACACCTACAGTGGCCACCCAACTCCTATAGACCCACCCAACACCTACAGTGGCCACCCAACACCTACAGTAGCCACCCAACACCTACAGTAGCCACCCAACACCTCCAGTGGCCACCCAACTCCTACAGTAGCCACCCAACACCTACAGTGGCCACCCAACTCCTATAGAAACAAGATACTGTATTTTTTTTACATGGATTAGCCCACCCGGGCACAGGTCACTGACCCACATCAGGACCTGGGGGGCTAAAATGTAATAATTATTCATAGTAAATACAATTTATAATAAAAAGTAAAATAAAATAATAGTTATAACAATAATATAATAGCACTGTAATAATAATAAAGAACTCTAAAGAAATATAAAAAAAAAATAGTGAGAAACAATATATGTATGTTGTGTTGTCAAGTAAGAGAAACAATTGAGACCCTGCAATTGTGTGTAAATAAGGCAGAAAGTCAGATCAGCAACCTGGGACTTGGTCACAATTTTCGTGATGCCAAATGGCAGCAGGGTCTACCATTAGACAATACATTATGCTTCCAATATCTTCCCAGGCGGTAGTACCTCCCTGTTTGATAGCTGCCTCCTACCTACTATACTGTATCTTCCAGTCTGTAGCTGCAATGATAACGTGAATAAGACTAATAATATTATGAAATATATTATTCTGTGTGATGACTATTTAAATCTGTAACCAAAACCGAAACTCTCAGGTGTGTGGTGTAATAATTGTGCGCCTGGCAGCACAGTGCAAACCTTGGACACAGCAAGAACTTTTCCTAAAGCAAATAGTTCTATCAATGAGTCAGTCAGTAAGTAAGGTAAACCATTTACTGAGGTCGTTTAAGCAGCATAAAAAGGAAAAATAACCATGGGAGGTTCTATGGCACCAGCTCCACTACATCACTTGCGGCCACAAGAGCGGAGGTCACATTCCCCCCCGAATGTGACCTCCGCACTTGTGGCCGCAGGATGGTCTACTGAGGTTGGTGAGGAGACTTGCAGACGACACCATACCACAGCAGGAGTGTCTCTCACGCCCTCTATGTTTAACTCTCCCAACACTCGCACTACGCAAGTCACTTTACATTTCTTACTCGTCAAATATTTAATTTACATCTTCTGTTTGGAAGAACCCTTGACGGGTGGCTTAGGTGTATGGCCCAGTGAATGACGTAGTTCTGTGCCTCCTGCTTAGATAGTTTAACCTAGCAGACAATATTGTGTTCTTAGTTAATTACACAAAGAAACATCAAATACAGCTTTAGAGTGAATGGAATATTTAACAACGAACGTGATGAGTTATCTAATAAACACTAGACAGTCAGCTATTGGAGCAACCTGCCTGAGTATGTTGTGACCACCATGATTCTAACTCCCTTTGTGCGTACACTTTACCAGAAACAAAACGACGACGAAAGGTAATGTTGGTCCACTGAAAGACGAAACTAACGTGGCTTTGGAGGGCGAAAAACAGAAAGTAGGTTCCTGAAATGATTACTTTGCATTAGTGTTCATACATAAGTCTCTGGATAATTAATTTATAGGGGGATGCATACCTCAGGGGTTTAAAAAGAATTAAAGAGGGACAGTAGCCACAGATAGGATCAAGAAAGAGACAGCCAGCATGAAAAGAGTAGCAGCAGTGGACGGAGCACAGGCCAAGGTGAAGAAAGAGGAAACATTTCTCTTGGACTACAACTCAGAAAATTCATGAACCAAGCAAAAGTATTTAGGGACTGGAAATCAGCCAACGTCACCCCGATGACAACAAAGTGTGGTCATATTCAGAATGGAAAAAGATTCTCAGTTGAGTACCACAAGCATCTTTCCTAGGACCCACCCTGTTTGTGATCTACAATACTGATGTAAATATATCGAGCCACATAATCAAGTTTGTGAACGATTTGAAGATATATGGGAAGGTAGCAAGTCAGGATGATATCACAGCCGTACAAAAAAAGATTTGCACGACTGCGGAAGATGAAGTAGTACACACCCGCAGAGTTATCTCCCTGTCCCATACAGTCACTATCCGACACTCAGTAACTTATACACCAGCGGCCTACGAGGACATCAGGGAGGGTCAGTACCTTCTCTGTCAATATGCCAACCTGCAGAATCTGTGTCTACCAAACTTTATTTATACCCTGGACCAGCAGTGTGAGGAACTCCCTGCCACAGAAGTATTCTTTTCTCGCCACTATACAACCTCCAACAGTTCAAAACATCTTGCTTCAGCTTCGGTCTTTGGCAAGGGGTTGACAACGACATTTTAGACTGGTCTCTTCTGCGATCTTAATTTGTTCAAGTGTTAATTAATCTCATTTCTTCATTTTCTCTTTGGTGACGAGAATTTTTATTTTCTTTAACAGTTTATCTCCATGAGGCTGTGATGGTAGACGCCTTTAACATATTTCTAAATCTTGGTTCACTTAATTAAAAATTCTCAATGGTGTTCTTAAAGTGTTAAACATTTCCTAAAATAAGATTTTTACCATATAAATTATTTCATCAATTTTACTTTTCCTTCTTCACGAGTCACTGTGTGAAGTGATGGTCAGTGTTACAAAACCCAGCGACGCCTCGATCACTGTTGTGTTGTGTTGCTGGTTGACAACTCAAGTGTGTGTGTGTGTGTGTGTGTGTGTCCTTCTTGGATAATAATAAAGAGAGAGAGAGAGAGAGAGAGAGAGAGAGAGAGAGAGAGAGAGAGAGAGAGAGAGAGAGAGAGAGAGAGAGAGAGAGGAATAATGTTGAAATCAGATAACATAAAGTACATGTTTATAGGTCAGTAGTCTGCTTAATGTGTTCGTCTCAACAACTTGCACACGAGTCGTTTATTGAAATCATTTCACTTTTCATTTAAAAATCAAATAATTCTTACTACAGTAACTATCGATATATGCGTCACAGAAGAAATACCGCTACTTGCAACTGGTATCGTCGACCACGTTAACAAGAAGTAAAACTAATGTTCTCAAGCCCTCGGGCAGATGACTGGTGGATGGTGACCGCCCTGTATCGTGCAGCTGGCAGGGTAGTGGCGGGGCTAGCGGGCTGTGGCATCGTGTGGTGGTTACCATCCCTTGTTGATCGCCGTTAGTGGTGCCTTGTGTCTGCGTCAGCATCACGTACAACACGCACTCAAAGGTCCTCTTGGTGAAGGCACTTCAGCCTACATACCCTAATTATTGATCAACCGAGTCAAGGTGCAATAATTAGCATCACATTTGACCTGGTTCATTAATTGACGATTATTAGACAAAGTTGTCATGTAAACGTTAGTGGCAATGCTTTGTCATAATGTACATTAGTGTAATATAAGAAGCAGTGCGCGATGTTGTGGTACCTGGGACCTTCCATCTACCTGGGCCGGGAGGGCCACTCACCTGTGGAGAGTTGCCATGTCTCGCTGTCTCTCATGTTGAGGCCACAAAGAATGGCTGTGGCTGCGGCGGACACCCAGATTTAGTTGCTCTGTTATTACGTCAACACCTGGTCGTACGTCGGTCCCCGGTGCGTGAGTGTGTGTGTGAGAGTGTGTGCATCAGTGTCCAGCGGTGTGTACACGCAAAACTGTCCGTCTACGTGCAGTGGTGTACGCGTTGTGGAAAGGGTTAAGAGTAAGACACGGACAGGTGCTCGTAAAAGAGGGAGAGTAAGATCCTGCAGGAAGATCAAGAGTCCAGGACAACCCACCACCGAGGTAAGACGCTGCTGACCGACCCCTTACCTACGGGGGTGATGGTGATGGTGGGGATAGTGATGGTGGGGGGTGATAGTGGTAGTGGGGGGTGATGGTGATAGTGGTGGTGATCCTGACGGTAATGATGGTGGTGGTGGTGATTGTGGTAGTGGTGGTAATAACGGTGGTGATAAAGTGGTAGTAGTGGTGATGGTGGTAGAGGTGGTATTGTCAGTAGTAGTGATAGGGTCTACCCACTCTACATTCTATAGGTTTATTACATGCGGATAATATAGGTGGATAACCTAACACAATCATTAATAGGTTCTTTTTTATTGCGATGATAAACTAGTAGTGCCGGGTTAGGTGAAGTCATCCACTACAACACGCGTTCATCCACTACAACACGCGTTCATCCACTACAACACGCGTTCATCCACTACACCACGAGTTCATCCACTACAACACGCGTTCATCCACTACAACACGCGTTCATCCACTACAAGAGTTCATCCACTACAAAAGTTTGTCCACTACAAGAGTTCATCCACTACAAGAGTTCATCCACTACAAGAGTTCATCCACTACAAGAGTTTATCCACTACAAGAGTTCATCCATTACAACACGAGTTCATCCACTACAGGAGTTCATCCATTACAACGCGAGTTTATCCACTACAAGAGTTCATCCATTACAACACGAGTTCATCCACTACAAGAGTTCATCCATTACAACACGAGTTCATCCACTACAAGAGTTCATCCATTACAACACGAGTTCATCCACTACAAGAGTGCATCCATTACAACACGAGTTCATCCACTACAACAGGAGAGATGTATTAGCCTGTCACATATAGACAGCAGTATTATATACAGTAAATATGGGTTAATAACATATTCATTCTATCACCCAGAGTAATGATCATCTAAGCATTTGTTTATATCACACCATCTTGACTTGACAGTCATCAACTTTCACACCCAACCCTCTGTGTGTGTGTCAGCTGTTTCGTTAATGGCCTCTTGAAGTGAGGTTACCTTCAACCACCAGTTCATAACCCGACACGATACCCCAAAGACGTGTCCCGAGACAACCTCTTTGGGCTCTACATCTCTCAGCTGATGTTCATTAGTCAGACAATACCAAATCATTGTACCGACATTACTACCCCAATATAACTAAAAAATTACCACGTATGTTTAAATCAAACCAAGGAACAACGAGTGAACAGAAAACTACACGTGTCTTGTGTAACTTACAAGCTGAGATAACTACAAGTACAATACTGGACAACTGTGACGATTACAACTATCAACCAATCTACGACTGTATCAAAGGTGACAGCATCAAAGGTACCAGTGATGGAACAACAGTTAGTTCAAACAAGTGCTAGCAAGTGACATAGCTTTAACATCTCACCACGGCTAGATCAAGTTCATCCACTACAACACGGGTTCATCCACTACAACACGGGTTCATCCACTACAACACGGGTTCATCCACTACAACACGGGTTCATCCACTACAACACACGTTCATCCACTACAACACGGGTTCATCCACTACAACACGGGTTCATCCACTACAACACACGTTCATCCACTACAACACACGTTCATCCATTACAACACACGTTCATCCACTACAACACACGTTCATCCAATACAACACACGTTTATCCACTACAACACACGTTTATCCACTACAACACACGTTTATCCACTACAACACAAGTTCATCCACTACATTCATCCACTACAACACACGTTCATCCACTACAACACACGTTCATCCACTACAACACGCGTTCATCCACTACAACAAACGTTCATCCACTACAACACACGTTTATCCACTACAACACACGTTCATCCACTACAACACACGTTCATCCACTACAACACACGTTTATCCACTACAACACACGTTTATCCGCTACAACACACGTTTATCCACTACAACACACGTTCATCCACTACAACACACGTTCATCCACTACAACACGCGTTCATCCACTACAACACACGTTCATCCACTACAACACACGTTCATCCATTACAACAGAGTGACAGACAGATGCACAGATGAACGAGTTAATTGCTATATTCTTCGACTAATATTCACAGCAGTGGCATAAAATTTCTTACTTGTGTTTGGTACAATTACATAATAATAATAATAATAATAATAATAGTAATAATAATAATAATAATAATAATAATAATAATAATAATAATAATAATAATAATAATAATAATAATAATAAGGTAAGTCAAAGGCAGGGGTACAAAACTTCACTTGATGCTGTGAATGAGTGAGTCAGGTTTTCTATTGACAGACCTGCCTGCCTCGGCTAAAATCACAACCACCTCCACTCCCACACCACCTCCACCCCCACACCACCTCCACCCCCACACCACCTCCACCCCCACACCACCTCCACCACCCACACCACCTCCTGAAGATTTAAAGATACTCATCACCGTCAGCAGAGAGAGAGAGAGAGAGGTTGTGGGAAAATTCTCTGGAGGTAAAATTATACCAAGTCGGCCGTATTATGGTGACGGTCTGTCTTTCTGTCTATATTTACGGTGAAAGTTAAAACGTTCTTGTGTAACATTAGTCGAGATAGATAGATAGATAGATAGATAGATAGATAGATAGATAGATAGATATTCAGGGCAAGCGTTATACAAATTGGTTCTGCATGTATAATTATAGACAGGGTACATATATAAAGTGTACATAGACTGTGCAGGCATACAAGCAGTGTACAGTCAACCAAGGATGCATCTTACCCAACCTGGCTCTCGTACTCGTAATTTTACCTGGCAATACTTGATGTAGTAAGGCTATTCATTGTTATTTAAGATCACGAGAAGTTTCCAAATGTTCGTATATTTGCTTAAGTGATGAAAGAATTATATAATTGAATTGGCAACTCAAGTATAACCAGGGCTGCTACCTTTAGACTGTTTAATATTTATCCTGACAGAGATACAGTTGAAAATAAGTCCACCAGTCATAACCTGCACAACCTTACGAGAGGCAGGGTGGGGTCGATGCATCTTCGACTGACTGTACATAGTGCAGGTATACAAACAATATATACATAGTGCAGGTATATAAACAATATATACATAGACAGTGCAGGTATACAAACAATGTATACATAGACAGTGTAGTAGACATTATAATTATAAACAATGGTAAACAGTAAGTCGATTCAAAAACAAGTGTAGCCCAAGAAAGCTTATATAAAACTGATACACATTGGTGTTTTTATTGTTCATCATATATACATCTGACATATTTTTTACTCTCTCGTTCATCATCATTCATAATTTATTTTCTCTGTTTGTGGGTTAGCTGAGGTGAAGCAACTATGATTGTGGGTTAGCTGAAGTGAAGCAACTATGTTTGTGGGTTAGCTGAAGTGAAGCAACTATGTTTGTGGGTTAGCTGAAGTGAAGCAACTATGTTTGTGGGTTAGCTGAAGTGAAGCAACTATGTTTGTGTGTTATTGATAGTCTTTTGTCGTGAGTTCATGTATTGTGGCAGCGAGTGTGCTTGCATTACACTTCTTATAACACGTTGCTGCGCTTACCAGTCCTGGCCCGCAAACAAAACTTTTTTTTGGAAGAATGAGTCAACACGTGTTAACGATTTGTCCAGTGTGTGTGTGTGTGTGTGTGTGTGTGTACAGGTCTTCACGCTGACACTCACGAATCACGTCATATACTTTACGTACATGTCGCCACTGCCTGCTGGAGTCATCAACAAAATACTTTCTATTTACCTGTGCCTTCTTCAGCCCTGAGAGTGACTGATTTACTTACTGAATGATTGATTGATTGACTGATTTATAAACTGACTGACTGACTAATTGACTGATTTGATTGATTGATTCACTGATTAATTGACTGACTGACTGACTGACTTATAGACTTACTAACTGACTGACTGGTTAACTGAATGAATGAATGACTGACTTACTGACCAACTGACTGACTGATTCACTCACTAACGGACTTCTTGATTAAAATTGACTAAAACATTGTACGAGACTTAGACAAAAAATTAACAAAACGAACACAAATTTTAACACGTGTCTCAACTAAAACTGAATCGATATTTGGCTCAAAAAATTTCTCATATTTCCATGTACGAAAATAAATTGAATAGAAAGAAGTATAAGAGCAGAAAGATTGATATTGATTACTCGTTTTACTAGTGATGTACGTACATACAAACACTTGGTATGTGTACTACTAGTGATGTACAATCAAAGACAAAAGTCGTGTCGCCGTTTTGTCCGAAGATTAAATAATAACTCGTGAAACATTATGAGAGCTCCCTACCACAAGGCAGAGCGCACCAAAAGTTTAGCCCTTCGGCATTCACCAAATTTCACGACACGACTTTTGTCTTTCATTGTACACACAACCAAATTACTCCCCTCGTCTTGTAATACAGACAGTAGCCGGATGTTCTAGTACAGTAGTGTACTGTATACACTTAACAAAATTTCAACATATCTAGCCCATCCTAAGACAACTAAACCTACTTAAATTAATGTAAACTTTATGTCATTCTCTCCTTGGCTAGCTGTACCAGCTCCCATTATTTACACTCCTGTTAGTGCAAAGCAAATGTTAAAACACGAATGTGGTGAGATCTGTAGCACTAGAACCTATTAACAGTTACCTTCAGAGTATTAAATTCAGTGAATGTTGTGTTATACTGATGGTCCTGTGCAGATAAACACAGGTACATCAGGCTGTGCGAGTGAATGTCACGATAATGTCAAACACGCAAAGACTGAGCTATCTAGCAACTGACTACCTTAATGAAAATGGAGGTGGGTGCTATTGTGTTTCTCTTAAAGTGTTTTGCGCATATATATATATATATATATATATATATATATATATATATATATATATATATATATATATATATATATATATATACACACACACAAACTAATCTTACGAATTCTAACCCAGAAGAACTGAGAAATGCACAGAGGCCTGACAGTTGTAGCATTAGTAAACACGACGAATTTTGTGACAAGAGATACCGGTATGGCCAGCACAGGGACAGAACCAGACAATGTGATGTAGTCGTTACCAGAATTAGGCTACGATACAGACACATCTGGCACGTTAGTGACGCTGTGCCCATACAGGAACACTAAGCATGTGAAAACTGTGATAAACCTTTAAAGCAAACATTTGAACATTATAATATTGAATGTGACACTGTCAAAGACGTCAGACCACCTGGCTTATTGTATCATGAACTATGCAATTCTACACCGAATCACAAGTTCTTAAAAATATTCTAACAGTATCCTAAATTTGCTAGTCCACACTGATTAGTCCTCAATAATAATATAAAACTTATGAACACGACCTACTCTAGTATCGCCTTTGTGTGTGGACCTCTGACCAGCGTGGCAGTGATCAGTGATGGCAGCCTCAGTGTCGGCAACACCTGACTCAACTATTCAGATTAAACAAAATTGTTCCTCAGCCTTGCCAATAAAGTTAAGCTAAAAAACGAGTTGTGTTACAGCCAAGAGGAGTATGTTGTTTTATGTTGTGTTGTGCTATGATGCGTTATAACCAAAATGAGTATGTTTTGTCGTGTTGTGTTACAGCCAAGAGAAGTATTTTGTGTTGTGTTGTGTTACAGCCAAGAGAGGTATGTTGTGTTGTGTTACAGCCAAGAGAGGTATGTTGTGTTGTGTTACAGCCAAGAGAGGTATGTTGTGTTGTGTTACAGCCAAGAGAAGTATTTTGTGTTGTGTTGTGTTACAGCCAAGAGGAGTTATGTTGTGTTATGTTGTGTTGTGTTACAGCCAAGAGATATGTTGTGTTGTGTTACAGCCAAGAGAAGTATGTGTTGTGTTGTGTTACAGCCAAGAGGAGTATGTTATGTTGTGTTACAGCCAAGAGATTATGTTATGTTGTGTTACAGCCAAGAGAATATGTTATGTTGTGTTACAGCCAAGAGAATATGTTATGTTGTGTTACAGTCAAGAGGAGTATTTTATGTTGTGTTACAGTCAAGAGGAGTATTTTATGTTGTGTTACAGCCAAGAGATTATGTTATGTTGTGTTACAGCCAAAAGGAGTATTTTATGTTGTGTTACAGCCAAGAGATTATGTTATGTTGTGTTACAGCCAAGAGGAGTATTTTATGTTGTGTTACAGCCAAGAGATTATGTTATGTTGTGTTACAGTCAAGAGGAGTATTTTATGTTGTGTTACAGCCAAATAATAAGTTATGTTGTGTTACAGTCAATGACAGTATACATAAATAGTCAGAATTACGTTGATTTTTGAAGTCTTAAACGTTGTGGGTAAGTCTGCGCGTTGGTGAGAACTTTACACCTTGCCATGGTCTAGAGCCCCGCCACTCTCCTCCCACAGCTCTCCTGTGTTTGTGTTTCTTAACGTCTCTATGTTAGTAACTTTCTGTTGAAATGAGCGACTGTTTGATCGGGGTTTTTTTTTTGGGCACAGAAATTGCTTCTTTTAATTCACAGTTGGATACCAGAAGATCAAACACCCTAACTTATTTTACCTGAATAACCACTCTAACGCTAACCTAACCTAACCTAGCCTAACCTAACCTATTTAATGCCTACCTTACCCTAAAATATCTAACCTAACTTAACCCCCGAGGTAGCGTTACGGTAATTAATCTTTAGGTGAAATAACTTGGGGGTGTCTACTCTTCAGGTGATCCAACAGTTGTATGTCATTTTCAAAGTAGATTGCTGTTGTGGTGTGAGCGGCGCGGCGGTACACTAGAGCCTTGACCCTGTTGGACGGACCTTCGTTGCAGCCTTTAAACACCACTATGAGTATTGTGTTTTTTTTTTCACATAAATATTGTACACTCACCAATATCTTCCCTAGCGCTATAAGCTCTATGTAATCTGAAAAATAAACGAAGAATCTGAAACCATTCCGAGATGACAAGCCCCATTATGCTCAATCTCACATCCATCGTGCCCGGGTATTCGAGAAGATTTTGTTGAGAATATACATATTCTTGATGTCTTCATTATGTCTGGCAGAAGAGGCAAGACAAGGTAGTCCACCCAGCATACACCACTTAAGAGTACCACACTGATCACTGACGCGTTACTTAGCGAGTGAATAGTGTCAATAAGTGTATCACTCAAGGCGCATCACTGGTGGTGAGGGGGAGGTGGACGAGTTGCACTAGCGGGTGACTCATCCTCCTCCAGGGACCAAACTCCGGAGAAGGAACGTGACTTCTCGTTAGGAACAGTGTGGACACAACACTATATAAGCCTTTTATGCTGAAGGAGGCAGCTGCACTCACCGCCTTCACTTCCCAAATTTATAAAGTTAGGAGTCCACTTATAACTGTGGATTGGGAGTGCCTGGGTGATCGAACCAGCGAACTATAGCACGGGAAGACAACACTATAGCACGGGAAGACAACACTATAGCACGGGAAGACAACACTATAGCACGGGAAGACAACACTGCAGCCCTCTGGTGTTTGTTGTTCTCCTCACCTCGCCAACTACATTTCTTGAACACCTCCTGTTCACCACACTCGCACCAGATGACAGTCAGGATATGCAGTTCAGAGACTCATTTCGTGACAAAGTTTCACCGCTTCACACGCATGTTTCACCCTGACTGTACCTGATATTTCTCACCATCAACAAAAGCCTTGACTAATGTACTGATTATATCCTTCATCTGGTTCTTATCCACGTGTACAGAACAACTTATATGATCATACAAACTCGTTCACTGACGTACCGGAGCCAACGAGGGCATCTAAGGCAACTTGTGTTAGAATTCCGTCATGACTGGCTACCGACGCCTGGTTATAGTGTACGGTAAAAACACAAGGTCCCACCAACTACAATTTGGTACAGAATTTTCGAGTAATTTTAGAACATCAAACAAGCCAAAGTAATTCTGTTGCAACTCGTGATAAGTTCGGGTACAATAAAGCGAGAAATTGACTCGCCAGATAATGTGTGTGTGTGTGTGTGTGTGTGTGTGTGTGTGTGTGTGTGTGTGTGTGTGTGTGTGTGTGTGTCTCGCTACCAGGGTCATTATTCCTCCACCACCACCATACAGGAAGTTCATTATTTTTCTCCCTCGTCTGCCTCAGCAGCTGGACAATTGGTGTGGTTACCGTGGGTAGCAGCCATCACACTTTAAGACATGTGTTGAAAAAATATAAAAACGAAAATACGAGATGAAATTTGTTAGCGGTAACTTTTATGTCTGTCCGTCCTTTTGTCTGTCTGATTGAGTCTCTCCCTCTCTCCCTCATTGCCTGATATAGTCTCTCCCTCTCTCCCTCATTGCCTGATTGAGTCTCTCCCTCTCTCCCTCATTGCCTGATATAGTCTCTCCCTCTCTCCCTCATTGCCTGATATAGTCTTTCCCTCCCCCCCCCTCATTGCCTGCCTGCCTGTCCATTGCATATAGTCTCTCCTCTCCTCATTGCCTGATATAGCTCCCTCTCCCTCATTGCCTGATATAGTCTCTCCCTCTCTCTCCTCTCTCCCTCATTGCCTGATATAGTCTCTCCCTCTCTCCCTCATTGCCTGATATAGTCTCTCCCTCTCTCCCTCATTGCCTGATATAGTCTCTCCCTCTCTCCCTCATTGCCTGATATAGTCTTTCCCTCCCCCCCTCATTGCCGCTGCCTGTCATTCAATCTCTCTCTCCTGCCTTGTCTCCTGTCGTTCTCTCTCTCACCCTCCTTCCTTGTCGACTCTCTCTCTCTCTCTCTCTCTCACTTTATCTATCATTTTCTCTCTCCTTCGTTTCCTATCTGTCTGTCTATCCATCGTCATTCCTCTCCCTGTATTTGCGTGTGTTCACAAGGGTAATTATCCTTCTTTGTTTAGCTATCACCCTTCGACCAGTTATCTCTCGTTTTTAATTTTTTTTGTATTTTTCTTAACATTTTAATTAGTTTGTAGTGTTAATTATTTATGATGTTGATGGTAGAATGTTATAGTGTTGTATGTATGCTGGTAGAATGTTATAGTTAGTGTTGTAGGATGTTGGTAGAATGTTATAGTGTTGTAGTTTGGTAGAATGTTATATTGTTGTGGGATGTTGGTAGAATGCTATAGTTTTGTAGATATGCTGGTAGAATGTTATAGTGTTGTAGGGCGGTGGTAGAGTGTTATATTTAGTGTTGTAGGATGTTGGTAGAATGTTATAGTGTTGTAGGATGTTGGTAGAATGTTTAGTTTTGTAGATATGCTGGTAGAATGTTATAGTGTTGTAAGATGGTGTTATAGTGTTGTAGGTATGGGGGTAGAATGTTATAGTTGGTGTTGTAGAATATCGGTAGAATGTAATAGTGTTGTAGGTTGGTAGAATGTTATATTGTTGTAGGATGTTGGTAGAATGTTATAGTTTTGTAGATATGCTGGTAGAATGTTATAGTGTTGTAGGATGGTGGTAGAATGTTATAATTAGTGTTGTAGAATATTGGTAGAATGTTATAGTGTTGTAGGTTGGTAGAATGTTATAGTTTTGTAGATATGCTAGTAGAATGTTATAGTGTTGTAGGATGGTGGTAGAGTGTTATATTTAGTGTTGTAGGATGTTGGCAGAATGTTATAGTGTTGTAAGATGGTGGTAGAGTGTTATAGTGTTGTAGGTATGGTGGTAGAATGTTATAGTTAGTGTTGTAGGATGTTGGTAGAATGTTATAGTTAAATGTTGTAGGATGTTGGTAGAATATTATATTGCCAGACGTAAACGATATATCATTCTAACTCCATAATATCTTCAGGTGCTGTTGTCCTGATGAACGTTGGTGATGCAGAATGTTGGTGTCTGATCTCCAGTCTACTACTCAGGTACGTCATCTATCAATATCTACCCTCATAAATACGTTTATTTGCGATACAAAGGAATAGTAGAGTACTACTGGCCAGGTACGTTGCTTGGCCCCCAATTTTAAAGGGAATAGACTGGATGCTATACTATTGAGTACGATGTTTGACCCCCGGAGTACAAGGAACAGACCCTGAGTACTATACTATTGAGTACGTTGCTTGACCCCCGGAGTACAAGGAACAGACCCTGAGTACTATACTATTGAGTACGTTGCTTGGCCCCGGGAGTACAAGGAATAGACCCCTGAGTACTATACTATTGAGTACGTTGCTTGACCCCCGGAGTACAAGGAATAGACCCCAGGAGCTACAACTGTGCATCACCATTATTTCCCTCGTCACATGTGGCTGACTATGACTAACCTCGTCTGCTTAAAAAGAAAAACTGCTAAGGAGGTCCCTAAGATGGCCACAGCACTTTCATCCGCACAATGAATTTAGACACAACAACCAATAATACTGCGTGAATTTGTTATACTTACACAATGGTGCTACTATAATAATAATAATAGTAATAATAATAATAGCACTTGGGCAACATTGTCGGATGTATACCTGACACTCCACACACCTGACACTACACACCTGGCACACACTTGACACGGATGTATACCTGACACTCCACACACCTGACACTACACACCTGATATCAACACACCTGACACCACACACTTGACATCAACACACCTGACACCACACATTTGACATCAACACACCTGACACCACACATTTGACATCAACAAACCTGACACTACACACCTGACACTTCTTCACCTAACACTACACACTTGACACTCCACATCCCTAATACTGCATCACACACCTAACACCACACAACTGTTATCAAAGTGTTAACCTTATCGTTATCTCCTAATGGCCTGGTAATAACGCAGTGATGTTGCAAGTCACCATTACATAGGGATCATGCAAGGCTCAGCCACCAGGAGAAGCAAATGACCAATACGCTAAGTACACCATCATGACCTAAGCACCAGTATGAGCACCAACTTACTATAAGCACCAGAAGACGATAGTCACCAAGACATAAATAAGACTCAGCACCAACATCAAGCACTTACGCCAATTCACCAAGAAGCTGTCAACAATTAACAAACAGCAGACACAAGGCTTCACCAAAAACAGTTTGCTGGTGAACGTAGAGTCCGAAAAGTTATATTTTTACATTCATTTTTATTTACAATGTTACGTGACACCTCGCCTATGTTACTAGTGGTCGAGACTGTTGGCCTGAGCTAGTGATAATATTTCTATTAATATCGTCACTGATAAGTAATGTTTCTATTAATAACATAACTAGTAATTGCCAGACACACCCACACCTTAAAACAAGGTCAAGCAGGAGCCAGCACGGTGTCGTGTTCCTCTTATCCACCAGAACACGTTTAGGAAAGAACACCAGACGAACGTTCTCCCAATGTTTGCCTGCACTGGCGTTCGTTTTTTGGTAGGAGTACGAAAGACACCTTGGGAGAAAACGAGTGTGATATCAAGGAGACTACTTAACAGTGACCCCAAGGACGAACGAGAGAGAGACTCCACCCACCTACGTCCGTTATCTCCGCCAGCATCTTGCAGGGCGTGTTGTTGGGACCTGCTTGGTTGTGTCGTGTAGGTGAATGTGGACTTTATGACCTCTGGCACTATGGCTTCCCAGGTGAACCTTTAGACAGGCTATTGTTACTCTGTTGCCATAGTGGGTATTGTTTGGTTGCCATAGTGGATACTGTCTTGTTGCTATAGTGGGTATTGTCTTGTTGCCATAGTGATTATTGTCTTATCGTCATAGTGGGTATTGTCTTATTGCCATAGTGGGTATTGTCTTGTTGCCATAGTGGGTATTGTTGTCTCGTTGCCATAGTGGATATTGTCTTGTTGCCATAGTGGGTATTATCTTGTTGCCATAGTGGATATTGTCTTATTGCCATAGTGGATATTGTCTTGCTGCCATAGTGGGTATTGTCTTGTTGCCATAGTGGGTATTGTTGTCTTGTTGCCATAGTGGAAATTTCACCTATGCCAGTGATCGTTGCCATTTTAGATATTGTAACTGTACTGCCAGTGGTCATTGCGATATTAGATATCGTCAAATGTAGGTGCGGCATGTGCCATAGTGTTCATTGCCACGTTACATCAATACCATGAAGGACACTGCCATCTATCTTTGCCATTCGTCATCATTTTACCTACAGTCTTGTTGCCACGGCGCCATGACGTCACTCACTCCCCTCCTGGAAGAAACAGTTTATATCGTGTCCTTCAAAGAATGTTAACCTCACAAAAACCAACCTAGTTGTGTTCCAAACCAGTCCCGTTGATCCGTGCTTGTGTGCTTGTGCTTGTATGCACTTTAATCTGTCACCATTAAGCCACAGGGAAGTAAAATAGTTGCCAGCACGAAACTTCTATAAAGGAAAAAAAAAGAGTAATAACCCACATTATTTTCATCACGACAATCACTCGATCACAGAATGTATCTCTCCTTTGTCAATGTTATTCATGTCCTGAGTTCATTTGAGATTAATTTCTAATAATAATCGCATATTCCAGTTCATTTACTCTCCTGGCCTAAAATTCATTGAAGAACTAAGGTGACGTAGCAATTTTTACGCCTTATTTCTTCATCAGTAATCGAGTGTTAGTCTACTACATCTCAGCAAGCAAGGAGGGGGGGGGGCTTAAGCGTATCAGGAATGTGTAAAAAAAAACACTCCACTTAGCTAGTAAAGAGTGTTGACGTGAGGTTCCCAAGACACGCTAAAGAATGTAAGTTTGGCAAGGAGTTAATGGAAGGGTAGCTGGTAAGGGAAAGAGAGGTGAGGGTGAGCGAGGAAGTGTGGGTGGGAGGGAGAGGGATGGTGAGGGAGGGAGGGAAGGAGAAGTGAGAGAAGGAGGGAAGACGGGGATAAGAAATAAAAATGGAACATACGAAGGGAGACACAGACACACAGAAGAGAGAAAAAGAGAGAGAACTTCCCCACCCCTGCCAGGACCTCTCTACCCCCACCAGAACACTAAGTTGCCTTTGGTAGTGGTGGCAGGTGACACAGGGAAGGGGTAGACTGTCAAGTGTGATTCTCAAACATGTGTAGCCTAAGTTGTTTCTCTTATAGATAAATGAAGCAGCTAACAAAGGCGTATCATGACGACAATGTCACTGGTATGTGTCTACGCTATTTTCACCTCCATATTTTGTTTTTTTTTGTAATAACATTTGAAAGCAAGTACCTGTGGTGTTATATCTCCCGTGATGGAGGAGAAACATAACATATACAAGCTACTGAGAATCTGTGTGTGTTAACAGGTGGGGGTGAGGGAGGGGGAAACGGCACCTCTAATTGGTAGGGGGAGAAGGGAGGGAGGGAGGGAGGGAGGGAGGGAGCGAGGGAGGGAGGGAGGGAAGGAAGGAGGGAGAGGGAGGTGGGAGGAGATTCTTTCCTATCTAAGGGGTCAGGACGCTACTGGCGGGCCCACCATCCTTCTTGCAGGACCTCGAGGGTGGAGGGTAAGAGGCGGGGAAGGCATCCTGCGTATTTTAAGTGTTGAAGCCTAATAACAGTCCTCCTGCTACCTGGCGAGACGGTGATTAACGATCGTGTCACCTGTGAGGAACCAAAATCAGGTGACGGTGCAATAAACACTACTGCGACCACCTCGTCTACCAGAGGTGTTGAACACGAATCCAGGAAAAAAGTCACAAGAAAAAGAATGCACGGAAAAACCTAACCTAACCTAACCTACGTACAATGCCATCATATATATAAATTGTGTTGTCAATGTGTACAAGTTATGTGATATTTTTCCTGTGACTTTATTTCCGTTCACCCTGAGCACACCTGTGGGCTGGTTATACAGTATGTCTCTCAGGCTGTGTGTAGTGTATACAGCATTTTTCACCTTATTGGAGCGTTTTTCTGCTGGTGGTGAGGTACAAGGACCAATAAATTACATTTTCCCATTTAAATTGACGATTATAAGACATGAACTGACAGATATAGCAAAACAAATGACGTAAGAGACATACTTTGACTTGGAGTATTTACTGTGTTGAGAGTCTGAGTGAACGGCCATAGCCCTCACAACACCTCAACACTGAGTTAACAAGACAGTGTGACCAACAGCTTGTGACTGGCTGTGTGATATTGACCTTTCTCTAACATCCCTCTCCTACACAGTACGACCTTCCCCTCACCCACTGACCACCATCACCGCCTCTCACTTCTACCTTTGCATTTCACAATATCTCCCTCTCTTCTATTTTGTCTTCCCCTCTACCCCCCTGCCTCCCTCCTCTTCGTCTATATATAGATTGTGTTAATTAAAGTATAATTAGTTCAACATATGACCTACTGTAGATGAAAGAATTACGGCCACGCCCACCTATGACCTCGATCATATGACGCCATCGTCCAATAGGTGACGTCATGGCCCCACACGTGACGTCATAATCTTATGTATGACGTCACAGTGCCATCCATGACGACATCTGCCCCCAGGTGAAAGGGTGACATGCCTGGGAGTGAAACACGCGTCTGGCCTTTCAAGTTCTAAGACAACTCTATGACGAAATTTTTAAGGAATGTCCTCACTGAACCTGACATCTCCAACACTCGCACACACACACACACACACACACACACACACACACACACACACACACACCTAGGTCTACGAGCACCCACCTGAGACTTAAGCAAGAGAAAAGTGAATTAAGCAATGAGAGAGAGAGAGAAGGTCAAGTCAAAGTTCGTCGACTCCTGCTGGTAGTGGTAGGGGTAGTGGTGGCAAAAAGGGTGGTGGTGGTGGTGGTGGCGGTAGTAAGGGTGGTGATGGTGGTAGTAGTGGTAGTAGAAGTAGTAGTATAAGTAGTATTAGTGATAGTAGTAGTAGTAGTAGCAATGGTGGTAGTGATGGTGGTGGTAGTAGTAGTAGTTTTAATAATG